AACAAAGTGGGTAAAATGCCCGGCGTGCCAGGCAGATGGGCTGGGCGGTCTGCCCGCTGCCATGGTACTCGGATGGATTTCTTCTGTCAGGTTCGGGTCAGGACTGCCATGTTGAACAGTTGGGAATGCGTGCGGACCCTGAACCCTGAACCCTGAACCCCAAACCCCAAACCCCAAACCCCAAACCCTAAACCCCAAACCCCAAACCCCAAACCCTAAACCCTAAACCCTAAACCTAAACCCTAAACCCTAAACCCTAAACATGGGTGATCTTCTAGATGTCCCGTCAAGACCTCTTTGCAGGAGGATATTGGCACCACACTGGCGCATTTAACCGGGGAGGCCCGGCTTGCCATTCCGGGAATTCGGGATTTAGGGATTTGTTTCGGGGTGTTTCGGGTTTAGGGTTTAGGGTTTAGGGATTTCGGGTGCAGGGTTTGGGGTTTCGGGTGTAGGGTTTGGGGTCGGTAAGTTCGGATCCGGCGGAGCCTCGGAGTCAAAAAAAGGGGAAAGCGGGTGTAGGGTTTAGGGTTTAGGGTTTAGGGTTTCGGGTGTACGGGGCTATGGGTTTGGGGGGTTTAGCGTTTCGGGTAGGGTTTAGGGCTAAGGGTTTGGGGTTTAGGGTTTCGGGTTAAATGCGGCCACTACTTGAAAGTTCATGGCTACTTAATTATATTAGAAGTGGTGTCATGAAGAAGTAGCTTGCATAAAATTATAACAACTGGAAGCTAGAACTAGCATTACTCTGCTTCTACCCCTCTTGAAAGTACCCATGAACCTTCAAGCATCCCAATCCCCAGCATGCACACGACCACCAGGCGACCTGACAGAGGTGAACTGACAGAGGTAGTGCTTTCCTGAGTTTTACGGGGTATAAGGAGGGACTCCTACACGGGGCCCTGAATCTTATTCCTAAACCCTAAACCCTAAACCCTAAACCCTAAACCCTAAACCCTAAACCCTTTATATGCCTTGTTTTAGTGCCGAAGCGGACTTGCACCTGCAGGTATACAGCCAAGAAGCCACATCCATGCTGCCTGCCATTGCTTTGGCGAGCGCCCTGCGAGCGCGAACCTCGGATGCCCGGGGTGTTTGAAGGTCAGGGTTTAGGGTTTAGGGTTTAGGGTTTAGGGTTTAGGGTTTAGGGTTTAGGGTTTAGGGTTTAGGGCTGTTCATGTTATCGAATCCGCTTGCCGGTCCATCAGCGTTGGTCTATGTCCGTGCCTCTCGCGTGCGAATCGTCGCGTCATCCTGGTAGAAGATGTCTGATGATGCATGCTTAGCTCTTCTGTACCCTCTCAGATTCAGCCAGTGTTTTTTCCAGTTTGGCAGGATCGTGACGCTGAGCTGGTTGCAGATCTTTGTGCTGCACCTGGCAGCAAGGTCATGTGCTGAGTATTCTCCGCTAGCGGCGACGGTTCGCACAAAAGTGGCGACACCGACAGGCTACCCTGCTTGCTACAGCCTTGGGCGAGTCGGGGAGCCCAGCGCAAGTGCTGATATCTTGCATGGCGCACTACTAAACCCTAAGCTCTAAACCCTAAGCCCTAAGCCCCAAGCCCTAAACCCGAAACCCTAAATCCTAAACGTCCTTGCAGATCAGGTCCGCGCAAATTGTCGCAGCCTTGGTCCGGCGTTCTGCTTCGAGGCATCGTGCCGCATCGTGCCCGTGCCAAGTCCCCGAGGTAGCCAACGAGCCCGACGATGCTCGGCGGCGTGTTCTCTTCGCCAATGTCCTTCGTGTCAAGGCCTCAAGTTTTTGTTCATATGCGCTGTAGGACATGATGTTGTGCTAGTGGTGCAACATGAGCTTAGAGCAAAGTTAGATGCCATGACATCCTTATTCAAGATGGTGTGATGATATGTCATGAGCTTAGGCTGGTGCCACAAACTGCCTCGTGGCGGACTTGGCCCGGGGGTTTCCAAATCTGAGGGGGGTTCCGAGTACCCTTCTGGTCTCTTGGGGGCACAAGAACCTAGGGGGGGCGCCCTCTGTCTTTTTTGGGGGGTTCCTACCAGTAAAGGCTGATGGGATCTTGGGGGCAGGCTCGGTAGACTCACACAAGCTCTGGAGGGCACCCAGCTACTAATTGCTTAAGAAGCCCCCCCAAAAGAAAAACATTTTCCTTTATACGGGTAATATAGGGATTGTTATTTGTTATTCTTTTGGGGTTCTTCTTATTATTTGTTATTCTTTTGGGGTTCTTAAGCAAGTAGTAGTCAGCTGGGCATCTCGTTCGTGAAGGCATGGATCGCGGCTGAGGTTGTTGGGACGGATGGTCGACGTTTTGGTGACCTCGCGCCAGACTGCTTCGACGTATGTCCGGCAAAGTTTGCCCAAGCCCTAAGCCTTAAGCCCTAAGCCCTAAACCCTAAACCCTAATTAGATGAGTGTCCCCAGACGCTCAGACAATCAGACTCACAGACGCTCAGAAATTCACGAGGGTCTTAGTGACGCAAGTCACTGAGTGACGGGGTCTGTTCTCTCAGCGTCAGAGTCTGAGAGGCTGAGTGACTGAGAGACTTGGTTTGGCCTGGGAAGGAAAGAGTCCGAGTGACTGAGCGACCGGGTCTGGTTTGAGCGGCTGAGTGAGTGAGCGACTGTTTTCAAATGGGGTTCGTTCTGCACGCTCTCTCTCTCTCTCTGGGTTCATGACCGCAAAGTTTGGGGTTTCAATTGGTCCCCAAAAGGGCATCTGTGGGAGTGGCCAGGCCGTGCTCGTGGCTGCAGCCTCAGGGCTACGCAGCTTCCTCTCGGGTGCTCTGCCAGCTCTGCATTGCCTCAGTTGAGGATGCGCCTTGCTCGGCAGAAGGCAACCTCAGGAGGTCCGTCCCGCCCAGCTTTCCTAAAGAAGCCGGAAAGGTTGTTTTTTCAGTAAGCACCAACCCTTCACTCTCTTCCTGCAACGGAAAAGAAGTGCACGGATTGGTAGCAACCTTGCCCTCCACACCTGGCCGCCACGCCGAAGAAACCCCCAGCATCTCCCCAGCACAAAGAAGGACTTTCGGAGCCTCCCCATTGCTAGGGAGCCAGTGTTATCTCAGGTGCACCCGTAGCTAGGGGATTGTATGTCGGTGTGAATAAAGTGTGAGGCTTTAAACAGTTGGTGTGATCGCGACAGTGGCAGTGTTTTTGACTTGCTAGTGCAGACGCTTCTGAAATCCTGCCTCGCTGACAGCTTCAGCAACCGGCTACCACATGGACATGTGACCGTAGAACTGCCATAGCCGCTTTCTGAGAACCGACCAGCACAGACACCTCCAGGCCAGGCACGGCACCCACAAGGAACTTCCAGCAAGCAACGTCAAGGAATATCGAGGAAGGCATACATCGTAGGTTCCATCGAAGAATGCAGCTTCAAAATCTGCTGACGACTCGCTGGGAGCCCTAGAGTACGTTGATCAAACCTTTGTGTTTTGCAAGCTTGGATGCTCGAAAGATGCAAGAAAGGCTTCGCCGAACTTGATGCAGAATTGCGGGCTTCGTTCGACGAGCTTGAGCGGCGTGTTGCTTGCCTGCATGTCGAGTGGTGGCTCTCTTTGACGTTGCCCGAGCCCCCTGTAACTCAGAAGCCAAGCAAAGCCATAGATCACGAACGCCAGGCTAGAGTTGCAGGTAGCTGCGAGATATTGGTTCTATCATCGATGGGGGGGCGGGGGGTCTGCTTCTTTCTTGGGTGTGGGGTGGTGACGGGGGGAGGTAGATTGTTTGTTTGTTTCTCAGGTGCCGGGGGGGGCTCTTCGAAAGGGGGCGAGGCGCCCAATGTTGAAGAAGCCAAAATGGATTCCCACCACAAGGAATCAAGAGCAGCACCAGGTGCTCAGCCTGTCAGCGCATGGGGGATTTAGGGGTTTTAGGGTGTAGGTTGAAAGAGCAAAAAGGAAAAAACGGTTTAGGTTGAGCGGTTTGGGGGCTTGGGGGGTTCAGGAGACAAGGACTTCAGCGCAGACAGACATGCTGCTGGGACACCCCGGCTCTAGAGGGACAAAATGTGACAAAGAAGCTACACGCAGTTGAACTTCGCAAAATCTGTAGTCTATGTGTTGGTTTCTCATTCAGAAAAGCCTGGCGTGAGCGTGGCGAGCACAGCCAGTGCTTGAGTCCTGCTTGAACCCGTCGCTAAGCTACGACCTCAAAGCAGCCATCCCACTGTCACTTCCCATCGCGGGAGTTGTGTGACCACTGGTTGCCTAGGCAAAGTTGCGGTGCCCAGCCCAGGTGCACACGGTTCAAGGGGCGATTGAGAGTGACGTCGCGCAGTACCTGCGCGTCTGTGTGGCTTAGCTTCGGGAACTCAAGGGAGCGCGCGGCGAGAACATGTCGGGTTTATCCGGGGAGTTTCAGGTCCCAAAGACCTTGACTGCACTCGGCGAGCCTGTGTCAAGGAGTTGCCTGACGACACAGATGCAGATCCGGAGTCTGGCCCAAGCGATGTGCTGGAGAACTGGATCCTGAGGGAAGATGCGCTCAGCGCGCCAAGAGAGGAGGCCAAGGATAACCTGCCGCTCCTTGGCTGCGAGTCTGTGATGATGAGCCGGAACCCCTTTTGAATGATGTGATTATGTGAGTGTGCTTGTGTGTTCTTATGCTGTAATCTGTCATGTCACTATGTGACTATATCACTGTTGCTAGATTGCTCGCCATATTGCGATACTTGCTATGTTGCTATAGGTGCTATTTTGCTATGTTGCTATGTTGCTACATTGCTATATTGTTGTATCGCTCAATTGCCATTTTGCCATCTTGCTGTACGCTAAGTTGCTATCTTGCTATCTTGCCATAGATTGCCATAGATTGCAGGATGGCCATCTTGCGACATTGCTCTGTTGCCCTGTTGCCATATCCTAAACCCTAAACCCTAAATCCTAAACCCTAAACCCTAAACCCTAAACCCTATTGCTGTCTTCTTGTCCCGAGGATCGGCGCCTTGGTCCTGCGGCAGTCGGCTCTGGCTCTGCAGGGAGCTTCAGGGCAGTCCCACTTGCGACTGAACTCTCACATGATGGAGCGCCTTACTTTTAGCCCATTTAGTTAAACTTTTTAAGCTTTTTTGGGGAGCTCCTTGCCTAGCCCATTTAGTTAAACTTTAAACTTTTTGGGAGCTCCTTACTTCGCCCATTTAGTTAAACTTTGAACTGTTTGGGTTTTCTTGTTTAGTAGGAATAAGAAAGTTTGACCTTTTATTCCCTTGCTTTTTGGAGAAGTAAGGCTCTCCATGAAAACAGGCGGAGCTGTGGAAGCCTTGGGCAAGGAAAGGATCAAGAGTAACCTGACGCAGCGGAACGTCAAGACGGCCAGACGCTTCAGCGGGATGTACGGCGCAGCCGATCTGAAAAACAAGTGCAACATTCCAGTCGTCAAGCCGAACGACAAGTTTCGCGTCGTCTGGGACATTATGGGCATTTCCCTGATTGTGATGGACGCCTTCCTTCTGCCAGCGTCGATTGCATGGGATCTGGATGTCACACCTTTCCCCAGGAAGATCAGCTTCGGATCTCGCGTTCTGCAGGTCTTTGCTGCCGTCGCTATGTTCTTCTGGCCTGTCGACTCTCAACCTTATCGCTTTGGATTGTATCAGGGCTTAGGGTTTGAACTGGGAACCCGTCCGATAATGCTGATTTCAGCTTGGTGTCGATCGGCACTTTCTGGCGATGATAAGGTTTCTTTCGTTTCAAGACGTTGGGGTTAGATTGTCTGGCGCCCACGCTGCATTCATTGTCGTTGGCGGCAGAATCGGCCTCAAGTGAGAACAGGACATCGTGATAAATTTCAACACTGGCATCTATGTGGGTGCTGTGCTGGAGACACGTCGTGCCGCTTCTTGCCATGCAATAGTGACGTTGCATGACGTTTGCATGCTGTCAGTTGCAGTGCCAGCGTGTGACTGTGAGGTTATTGCCAGGCGCTACATATGCTCTTGGTTCCCTTTCGACATGACTGTGGTCACACTGGACTTTGTTTTGGCGCTGTCCACGTCCTCGGAGGTGCAGGGTAGCTCAAACTGTCTTTCCAGGCTATGGCGGCTATAGCTTTGGGTCCGACACTGCTCCAGTTTCAACATTTAGTGCATGACGTTCACGGAGCGCTTGCGAGAGAGAGAGAGAGAGAGAGAGTGTGCATGACGGGCGGTTTCGGTCAGCCAACATCCTTTTGAACATGGACAAGGTGGCCTAGCCACGGCTTGCAGGTTACTCCTGTGTTGTTTCGAGCGTTGATGGCTCTGCTTGCCTGTCAACGGTTTGCGCTTTGGAGGAGATGGGTGGCGCGCTGCAGTCATTCCGATCTGCACGCTTTCTGCGCGTATTCCGCGGCTCGAAAGCAAAGGGTTAAACATGGACTTGTTGTGAGCAATCCCAGAGAGAACTGGAATCTCAAGGATCGCTTCGAATCATACGCCTTCTCAAAGCTGGAAAAATCAACGTGGTCTTGGAGAACCTAGTTGGCTGCCCAGCTCTCTCTGTCTGTCTCTGTGTGTGTGTGTGTAACCCTAAACCCTAAACCCTAAACCCTAAACCCTAAACCCTATACCCCTAAACCCTAAACCCTAAACAGTGGTTGTTTTCATACAGAGGGGTACCTCTCCAGACCATGGCTTGGTGGCCTGGTGCAGCTCCTCCGTGTTCAGGGCTCCGGTGCTCATGGCTTCTTGTTCGCCCGTGTCACCCTAAACCCTAAACCCTAAACCCTAATACCCGAATACCCTGAGCCCTAAACCCTAACGCTGTCTCCCAGTTGATCTCCATGGGACGGCAGTGGCTCATCTTGGCTTTCACCGTCGGAAGAATGCTGATGACGATCATGATCCCTGCCTGCATCTTGAGTCGCCTTGACTTGGGTTGGGTGATGCGAAGCCGAACACGAGCTCGTTTCGCACCGGTAGCCCTAAACTCTAAACCCTAAACCCTAAATCCGAAACCCTAAACCCTGAACCCTAAACCACGGGTGGGAAGAAAAAACCCAAAACCCTAATTCCTAAACCCTAAAACCTGATTCAGGATAGTGCTGCACATCCTTGCCTGCTCCTGGTTTGGCTTGGGCGAGGCGCGACACACGTGGATAACACTGACCTTAGCTGCAGGTTTAGGGTTTAGGGTTTAGGGTTTTGGGTTTTGGGTTTAGGGTTTAGGGTTTATGGTTTAGGGTTGTCCCGCCCACTGCAAGGTTGAACGAAGGTACATGCAGGTAACAGTTGTACAGTCAAGAATCGACTGTAGACTCGGATCCAAGTTCTCATGGCAGTTGAAAAAGAGTTCGGGAACCCCAATGAGAACCTTAAACCCTAAACCCTAAACCCTATACTTTGGAGCAACACGAGCCAGGCTGTGTCCACTTGGGGTCAGAAAAGTTGGAGACCGGGATGCAAGAAGGAACGTGCTGAAGAGCAAGTGCGGTCGCAACAATGCCCGGTATGTGTATCCTGAATATACCCCAAAATGCGAGAATCCCTAGTATGGAAATGACCCCCCCCCCCCCCCCCCCAAAAAAAAAGAGAAAGAAACAAGGGCACCCCTTTCTTTCTGAAACCGTGTGGAGCCAAAGGATTGAGTGGGCCGAGATCTCCGACCTCGACGGCCAAACTCAGTACATCCACGCCATGCAGTGGATCGCACCTTGCTTTGAGAAGCCCTAAAGCAAGGGTTTTAGGGTTTAGGGTTTAGGGTTTAGGTTTGCCGGCAGCCTCCAAAATCCGTTGCTCAAAAAGGGCTCAGGGTTTAGGGCTTAGGGTCGCTGAGAGACATCATGACTCTCCAAGTGACTCGTGCGGGAACTTGCAGCTCTGGCGGTTTAGGGTTTAGGTTTAGGGTTTAGGGTTTAGGGTTTAGAGTTTAGGGTTTAGAGTTCTAGGGTGTAGGGTCCAGTGTGAACTAAGTTGCTGCCCCCTGCTCCCGCTCCGCTATCGGCGGCAACTCTTCCGCACAAAGACTGAGTGCTTTGTCGGGCGGCGGTGTGCGGCTGTGCGGCTAGTGGCTTGAAGCTCGACTCCTGATGACAAGGACAGCGCGATTGAACGACTTGCCACCATCATGACCGTGGTTGTTACCGTGCTTTGGGTGCAGACTGCATGGTGTTACGCTGCCAGGGGCTTTGAGAGACTTCTGATATGTGCTTCACGCTGACCCTGACATACTTTGAAAGAAACTCTACTGTATGTTGGTAAGGGCTGTCTTATGGCAGCAAAGGCAGATGTAAGAACGCGCTCAGAACATCTGAGCGCAGCTCAGCACAGCTCAGCGAGAGAGGGGAGAGAGGGGGGGGGAGTGAGTGCGAGAGAGGGCGAGACGGTGAGGAGGGAGGAGCAGAAAGCAAAAAAAGATAGGGAAGGAGCGAGTGCAGCTGAACAGCCAGGTGAACTTGTCAACCAGCATTGCTTGGGATGTTGCCCCTTACGTATACTAACAGTCCTGAATAGGTATTCTAGTACCCCCGATGATAAACCCTGCTAAGGACTTTTAGTATAAGGGGGGACATCCCAAAGCATTGCCTCAGCGCAGTTGCGGAATGTGAGGTTCTCGTGATTGGTACATCTCTGTCCGTGCTGACCGGAACGTTGCAGGACCAGTCATAGCTCCAACCTGAGGCCCAAAATGCTCCCCTCCACACTCTGATCTCGGGGTTTCCGAAGATAGGGCCCCTATAATAAGGATCATACTATTTTGGGTGTAGATTAAGAAAGAGAATTGTCAATTCCGATGTCAAATCGGAGGGTTGCCTGCATGAGAGCGGTTGCTCGATGGACGTTTGCGTCAGCTCTTGCGCTGGCTTGTGCTCAGTAGCAGGCTGTCAATATTCGCTTGCTCAGATACAGAGTGTGGCGTAGCCTGATACTCTAGATTGTGCGGTGGAAGATCGCCAGGAGATCCGCCAGGTCAACAACGAGCGCAGCAGCTGCTTTGAAAGAAAGCCAAGTCAAACGGCAGAGTTCTCATTGCTACACGAAGACTGTTTCCTAAACCCTAAACCCTAAACCCTAAACCCTAAACCCTAAACCCTAAACCCTAAACCCTGAACCTTAGACCGGCACCTGGCTGAGCCATCTAGGATGTTGATGATGTTGAGCACTGTGTGGCGGTTCAGATGTTTCCGTACAAGCACTCACTCGTCGAACGCTGTCCTGAACATAGATTCCGCTTGCAATTGCAGGGCAGAATGCAGGCGCCATCTACACATCGACAGTGTCGGTAGTAGTAGACCTGCACGTTTTTTCGCGCATGATCAGCAGACTATAAGCAGACCTACCATGTGTTGGTTTCGCGAGGAAAGCGACGGGAGCTGCGCATCTTTCTTCAAACCAAGGCAGCACCAACTGAGCTTCTTGGATTCCTCTCAAGAATCAGTGTTGCCAGCCCTAAACCTTAACCCTAGTCCCTACCCCCTGAATCCGTGGATCCTGGATATCTTGGGCCCAGGCTGGTGATGAAAGTCATGAGCTACGCTGATTACAAGATGGCCCGGCACTCCCCGAATCTTGGTAGCAATGAAGGGTTTAGGGCTTCGGGTTTCGGTTGCGGGTTTAGGGCCCGCAATGAAAAAGACCAGCCAAAGATGGCGTACGGGAGTATGGTGTGACAGAAAAAATGTAGCCCTAAACCTTTTGTAAGCCCTATATAGTATATCCCGAAAAACCTGTAAGAATATGACGCTTTAGTGTAATCCTAGAACCCTTCTGCTGTGACGACCTCTTCCAGGAGTAGTTGCATAGTCCCTCCTCATGGTCCCTTAGATTGTATAGGGTATATCATGGTCCTCTAAGGGCTTCCCACTGAAGGGCCCACACTCAGGGCCTTTGCAACTACCCTAAACCCTTCATAAGCCCTATATAGCATGTCGTCAAACCCTGTAAGAACATGACCCTATACAAAATCCTAGAACCCTTCTGCTCCAAAGATCTCTGAAGGATAGCTTTC